AAAAGGAAAATGACAACAATTTTAGGTTTGTTTTGGTGAACATTGGGATCGGTCGTGAGCGAACCCTGCTGAGGAACGCAAAAGAACGGGGGTTGGAAAATCTATAGTGGTTGGGCTACAAGGAATGCTGTATTGCTGTGAAAACAAATAATCACATCACGGCGCCAAGTGGCCGGTGTCATAAAATTATATGCACGGTTATGACAATCAAAGTAAGGGTGTCAAACGACCATGTCCAGCATTGAACAACTACAAACTAACCAACAATTCTGGTTTGGTTCAACATTTTTTAAACACTAAACTGGATGTGTACGCCGGTATCAAATAACCGGGAATAAGAGACTGTATCAAACTCCAGTCAAATTTGATCTATAAGCACTTTTGGCAGTAGCCAAGGTCAGAGCAACAAACATTCTTGTTGTTCTTTCTGCCACGGACCGTATGGTCAATTCTCAAGGCCAGTGACAAAAAATTGGGCGTTTCATTGAAAACTGAGTTGCGATCGAGCAACGGTGGAGAGAAAGAAATGTTTAAGAGCCGCCAGTCGTGAACGAAACTGTTCAAATGGACGCCATCATAACAAAAGGAAGGCCGGAAATATGCCGAGGTCCATTTTGGGACGATAAGGGTGCCGTAAGCTCTACATTTTGCAAGATACCTTAAGACGGCTACTATGAGGGAAACTGGTGGGCAAATGTAATTATTTTGATTGCACCAATTGTGACAGAAAGCGTCTACGCCAGAGGTCCCCTTGCACCAGAATCTAGAATTAAACTTCTGGACCTTAGAATTACAAGGGGAAGCAAATCGGTCAATTGAATGGGGCCCCATAACTCGTCGACAAACGTGAAAGTTGTCTGGTCAATGGACCAATCGTCGTAATCGGTAACCCTACTGATGCTGTCTGCGATAGTATTGATATTTCGAGGAACCCACTCCGCCATTATGATAATATTGTGTTTCAAACACAGGTTGAATATGGATATGGCTAATGATTGCAGGTCGGACTTTGTGCTTCCGTGTGCCATGATGCGGGGAACGTTGATGTTGCCCGTGAACCACCTGATTTTTTCGTGTGCGCAATGCTCACTCGACTCGGACAGTATTTTGAAGACGGCTGCTAACTCTCGCCATGTTGAACTGCGTATTTTCTCAGACTACGACCACGTTCCGTTAAAAATCATTTGGGGAGCGTCTTGCACGTATCCACCCCAGCCAGTATCGCTTGCGTCCGAATAAACTACGCGAGACGGCGTGTGCTGGTGTTTTATAGAAAAACCGTTGTACGCATCTAAGTTTGATTGCCAGAAATTCAACTCCGTGACTGTGCGATCCGATAAGAGCATGCAGTCAGACCACGAGGACCTGGATTCGGTAGTTTGATATGTGGCGCGTGTCATGAGGCGCGTTACTGGTCCTAGCGCTACTGACATGGATATTATTTGACCGGTGATGCTAGCGAGAGATTTTGCATGGGTTGGGATGGAGAGGGCGTGATCTGACAGGACTTTGTCGATTGATACTTTGAGTTTCGTAATTTTAGTGGGGGGGCACGGTGAATGTCAAAGTGCGCGAATCTATGATCATGCCGAGGAACTTGATGCTAGTCTGAGGATGCCACATGCACTTCGTTTTACTTGGGACGAATCCACTCTTTACTAGAGTCTGTTTAACGGTGAGAGAGTTGTGCAGTGCGGTATGAAAATCTGGGGATACTATGATGCCGTCATCGATGTAGGCAAACGAAGTGATTCCTTGTGCGCGCCAATGATAGACGAGCGGCCTGGTGATCTTAGTAAATATGTAACACGCACTGGAGAGACCGAATGGTAAGACGCGAAACACGTAGAATTTAGTGGTGGAGTTCTTAGATCTCCAAGAAAAACCGAGGTATTTCTGGTGGGGACCGAAAACGTCAACATGATGGTAGCCGGACTCGAGATCGAAACTGAAATAGTACTGGTTGTGATCTAGAATTTGAAATATGTGGGGTAGATCTTCATATTTGAACTTGGTCTTGTAAACAAATTGATTGGGATGTCGAAGATCTAGAACTAATCTTAGCTTCTTCCCTACGGCAACTGTGAGAGGGTTACAGCAGTAAGGCGGACTATCGACCTCGTATATGCACCGTTTTCTCAACAGCTCAGAAATGGCTCGTTCGACAAACTCGGGGTGGTCTAGGCTAGATGCATTGTTTTTTTGCTATGAATGGAGGCGGAGTGGTTAGGAACGGGATTTTATAACCTGAATCCAAAACATCTATAACAAAATTACTGGCCTTCAAAACACTTCTCCAAAAGGAAATGCATTGTTTTAATTTACCTTGAACTCCTTCTGGTGTTTTGCCATCGAGTTGATGTTCCCAAACTCTACTGCTTGTCGGATGTTCTGGATGGTTGCAGTCTTGGTTGTTGGAGTGCTCGAAGGGATGGACATGTTGTGCGCACATGTCCTTGGATGCCACATTGGAAGCAGATACGGTTGTCGTGATAGGCTCTGGTAGGGACGAAAATACTGCGGACGAAAAGGAGTAGCAGTACGCATATTGGCCGCCATCATCTTGGTTTGGTATGGTCTGCTGCTACTGCTGGCTCGCTTCTTGGGGCCGGTTTCTTAGCAGCGGCTGTCTTCTCGGCTTTTTTGATTCTCTTTTCATCGCTGGAGTCCTCGGCAAGGGTATCAGCCACGTACTCCTTGACAACGCCCCAGCCGAGCTCCGATCTGTCGGCGAGTCAAATTAGTTTCTGACGCTCTTTGGTGGCTTTGATTGCTTCTTTCAGATTGCTTTTTGCTTCGTCTAGGTCAAGCGTTTCGATGTTCTGTAGAGAGGTTTCGATTAAGGTCAGCATTTTCTCGCAATGAGAAAATTGCTGCTGATTACCATCCCTCTTGAAGGCAGGTGTGTCGGTGAGTTTCTGCTTCTTGCAAGCAGATTGGACTTTTGAGTCTATAGAGTTTGTCAGAGCCTGGATGGCTTGCAAGATTTCTTGATTGCCGCCAACGGGCTGAGGCTGTATATCGCTCTGTGACATGACGCATAAGCAGGAGCTGTATTGGCAGTCACTAAATCTGGTGTAGCAGGGTGTGTCGCTTGACCGGGAATGAACGCTTAGAACTAAAACAGCTCTATATAAAGGAGATTAGGTGAACATTCTTGATTGCATAACCTGAAGTAAGCGCTGCAACGAGCCAATTAGCATATCGTACAAAAAACGAAACGAAATTCCACATAACGTCAACGAATACCTTATTCTGCAGTCCCCTGGGAGTATACTCATGTCCAACTCATTTGATGCTTGCATTTTCTCCATATCAGCAACAGAAATTGGGCTTTTGCGTCTCACGAATCCTTTAACTTCACGTTTCAATTTCACGAGCATGGCTTTGAATACCCTTTCCTAGGTAGCACGCTGACGTCGGCCCGACGTCGTGTTTAGTCGGAAATCAGTCGGCAAAGTCGGAAAATGGTCGCGGTCGGCCAAAGGCAGTCGCAATGAGGTCGTACCAAGGTCCCTGAAACGGACGTTGGGCTCTAACTGTCTTGCCGACGTTGGTGGGAATGCAGGTCATCGACATGCCCCAACAAAACGGCCAGCCGACGTAGTCTATCGTTCTTCTGGCCGACGTCATATTATTCAGATTCTCACCGACGTCGGCGGGATGATTTATAGCCGACGCGTCCAATCAGTTACGTCAGACCGTAGTCCCGGCACAGTCCTATAGCCAACGTCGAGTTGTTACCGTTTTGCCGACGTTGGTGGGAAACTGGCTAACCGTTAGGACTTATAGAAGCCGTTCCGCCGACGTCGGCTATCGTTTTTTAGGCCGACGTCATATTAGATTCCCGCCTAATGATTTACAGCCGACACGTCCAATCAATTTTGTCGAACCGTAGTCCTAGCACGGTCCTCCCTACTGTAAACGGCCTATTAAAATTAATTGATTTTTGAATTGGAATGAGTTGGAATGAATTGGCTCCAACAAATGGTACTCAATTGGTGTCAACTGGTATGTTTTTCCTCCCGTTTATTTTTCCCCATCAATTGAAAATTTCACTTGGGACGCAATTGGTTTCAGTTGGCATGTTTTTTCTCCCGTCTATTTTCTCCAATCAATTGGAAATTTAATTGGACTCAATTGGTTTCAATTTGTATGTTTTTCCTCCCGTCCATTTCACCCATCAATTGGAAATTTCATTTGGGATTCAAATTGGTTTCAATTGGTATATTTTTCCCAACACTGTATGAACAAGTTATTCATATGGGCTCACAAATTAGTCCAAAATCCGTTAGTCACATATTTATTAGTCAAAAATTAGTCTAATTTTTGTCAAAAGATATTGAAATTGTTCCGTTTCCCAAGTAAATGTCTTTGATAAAAACATGTACAATAACGTGTATTTCTGTGTTATTTCAAAAGTATTTTCAACCATTGATCAATAGTTTACGAAATCCTGCTAGTGTTAGTGCCACCACTTTTATTTTTTCCAGAGCAGTCTCTAGAGCCAGTTTTTTTTCAGAGCATTAATGTTTCTTTCCAGACAAGTTATATTTTCCCAGAGCAGTTATTTTTTTCCAGAGCAATTTTTTTCCCCAGAGCAGTGTTTTTTCCCAGAGTTTGTTTTCCAAAGCTGGAGAGCATCTTTTTCCCAGGGCAGTGATTTTTTTGGGCAGGGCAATTTTTTTTTTCCCAGAGCAGTTATTAATTATTTTTCGAGAGCATTTTTTTCGAGTTTTTATTTAAATAGTTCATATTTTTATTTGAATTTCTTTTGGGAAAATTTTTCGAACTTGAATGACTAGAGATCAGTGATCGCCATATCGGAATCCGTCTAGTCAGAAATTCTTGCGATACTGTCACGCATGCGCATTGTGACAATGTGCGGCGCGAGGATAGTCTGATCCCAGACCTGGCAATTATTCCCGATGCCCACGCGTCATAGCGCCATGGGAACCAGACCAGTGCGCGGACAATTTCAAAACTCGTTGTGCCGCCATCTTGTTTGTTGGTGTACCGATGTTTTCGTCATGTTCTTGGAACAAGAATCAGCTTTTTCAACCTACGTAAGTCTTTATCTTTTGTCCATTTCCAAACAAAACAGGACTGTTCATGCAGCGAAAACACTTAAGTCCTCGATGTTATTCTGTACCGTCGAAATGTGTAAAATATGGTCGTGCAAAGGTCACGTTTCTTTGCAGGTTTCGTCAGCCAGTGGCGGCTGCGGTTTAACATGTTATTTACGCAGTCACGAAGCCCAGGTCATGCCGGTTTCACTCCGTTGCGTGTACACAACGGAGTCCAACCTGGGCTAGCAGTCAGTGAGTCACAACGGAGTCCAACCTGGGCTAGCAGTCAGTGAGTCACAACGGAGTCCAACCTGGGCTAGCAGTCAGTGAGTCACAACGGAGGCCAACCTGGGCTAGCAGTCATGGTAGTCTGCCTACGTACGTTTGATTTATTTGCCTCGGCGGCTACAGTCCTGTCAGTTGTCCTGATTTGAAAAAACAAACAAATGTATTTCCTGTCTTGCAAATCACGAGTTAGGGCCTATTCTTCATTTAATTTGGGCATTAAATGATTGGGGCGACTTGGTTTTGTCCATTACTAACATGACTAACATAAGTAACAATCGAAACTTTGCGGATTTAAGAGGGCTTTCGAAAAAAAGATCAAAATCTTCATTTTCAGGTGAGACTCGAAGATGTCGAACTCAACCACCGAGCCTAAACAGATCTGCGAAGAAAACGATGACGCCGAATGTATGTAGATAAATAATAGTGTATATAATGATTACCTTTGAAACGCTGAACATGAGATGCCTACCGTAAAAAATGCTTTTACATGCTTATATATGCATTTATATGTCAATTGAATCGTAATTCGGGTATATAAAGGGTCACTTACAACAATATTCCTTTATTTTCAATATTTAATTATAAATAGCTATATAATTATTATATACAGTGACGTAAATTTAGGATTTTGTTGGAAAATGGAAAGGTGTAAATTCTATAACTAAATGAACTCCTGTGACATATTTGCATTTTATAAAATTTAATCAAAATAGGTAATCCGTTGAGTTAAAAAAAAATTCCAGAAATATCCATGTGTTAGTAGCAGCCCATAGCCGTAGCTCCGATTTCGATGTTGCATCCTTACTTTTCTCATGCTGCTCTGAATCAATTTACTCACATTCTTTTTATTACCAGAAGAAAGAATCTAAGCCTTCCATTTTAAAGTTCAAGAGACAATCCTGCGCTGATTTGTCTCCATTGGAATGGCTCTTTCTTGTCCTGTCTATCTTCGCTTTTGGATGTGCAGCGGCTCTTACAATGCTTATGTTTGCAGAAGAAAAACCGGATTCGCCAAATTTTGTATTGGCAATCGTTTTGGGTATCATAGCAGGTTAGTGAGACTTCAATTTCTATAAATTTAGACAGATGCCATTTTTTAAAGTGTGTTTATGCCATTTACTTGAAAGGCTTTTGGCTGCGTCACCCTTTACATAAATTGCATTTACCATCAGAAGATATCAGAAACCGTTCAATTTTGGTTTATTCTTTCTAAAGGACATCTATTAAAAGATAGGCTTCTGATTTGGACATTTGCATAGAATGGGATTATTGAGCTGGGTGTCGGTATTTATCACAATTTGTAATCAAAGTTTGTCCGTGCTTTACAGATGCTAAATTTTAAGTGTGACCTTGTCTCATTTGCATCATGTCAACCGACAGCGCAGAGTATGCAATCGTTCCTGGCCCATGCAAAACCAGAAGCCACAATACCAGTAACACTGTCCTTTAAAGATAATTATTGAAATGAATTATATATGTTCCATAATTGCCAACAAATCATACAGACGACCATAAGCAATGAGAAAGTTTAGACAAATTCCGGGTTGTTTAAAGTGTATTTTATGCCATTTACTCTGAAGAATGTTGGATGCGTCTCCTTTTACCGGAATTGCATTTACCATCAGAAGATATCTGAACTGTTTAAATTTGGTTTATTCCTACTAAAGGGCATCTATTAAAAAAGAAGCTTCAGATTTGGCCATCTGCATAGAATGGGATTATTGAGCTGGGTGTCGGTATTTATCACAATTTGTAATCAAAGTTTGTCAACGCTTTACAGATGCTAAATTTTAAGTGTGACCTTGTCTTATACGCATCATGTCAACCGACAGCACAGAGTTTGCAACCGTACCTGGCCCGTACAAAACCAGAATCAGCAACACCAGCAACATTCCAATTTTAATTTATATATTGTTTTGAAATTAATCATTGAAATGAATAATATCCCCCCCCCCAATCGCTAAGAACTCATGGAATCCAAAGACGATGATAAGCAATAAATAATATTAACTGAAGATAAGCATTTTAAACCTACATTCATGACATTGAAGGAACCAAGTGCATTTTTTTTCAGGTACATATTTAAGGAAAAGGTGACATCTTGAGCGATTTCCCAAAAATATAATTTACATGAACATTCAACTTAGCATTTGTAACTTTAAAAACGTGTTTTTTTTTTACTTATATTATTGATACAATGATCACGAACAAAAGCATCCACGGGTAAAAATACAATCAATTCAGCGTTCAAAAAAGTTGCAAGTGAGTGATGTGACATCCCTTAAGGTCTTTCCTTTTTTTGCAGAAGAAAAACCGGATTCACCAAATTTTGTATTGGCAATCGTTTTGGGTATCATAGCAGGTTAGTGAGACTTCAATTTCTACAAATTTAGACAAATGCAATTTTTTTTTAAGTGTGTTTATGCCATTTACTTGAAAGGCTTTTGGCTGCGTCACCTTTTACATGAATTGCATTTACCATCAGAAGATATCTGAACCGTTCAATTTTGGTTTATTCTTTCTAAAGGACATCTATTAAAAGATAAGCTTCAGATTTGGACATCTGCATAGAATGGGATTATTGAGCTGGGTGTCGGTATTTATCACAATTTGTAATCAAAGTTTGTCCATGCTTTACAGATGCTAAATTTTAATTGTGACCTTGTCTCATTTGCATCATGTCAACCGACAGCGCAGAGTATACAATCGTTCCTGGCCCGTACAAAACCAGAAGCCACAATACCAGCAACACTGTCTTTTAAAGTCAATCATTGAAATAGATTATATATTTTCCCTAATTGCCAACAACTCAAATACAATGCACAGACGACCATAAGCAATGAATAATAATAATATTGAAGTTAATCTTTTTTCCCCAGATAAATCACATAAGGAAAAGGGCAATTTCAAGTGATTTTGCATTTGGATTATTTACATAAACATGTAATTCATATTTTATATAAATTAAATCCTTTTTTTAAATTAAATTACTTTTTAAATAATTATTTTGTTGTAAAATAATTTCGAACAAAAACATCTACTGACAACAATCAATTTGGCATTCTAAAAAAAACCCGATCAATTTCAAACACTGTGAACTATATTTCGTCCCTTGTTTGTAGTGTTCCTTCTGGTGTATTCTGTGCACGGTGTGTTTTGGAGGATGCCTTACAGCCTTCTACTACATTGTTTGTGTTACGTGGTTCTGGTTGCCTATTGCATAGTGTATTACACAGTGCCGGATGATAGGGAATCGATACTGAAAGGAGAACAGATGCCGAATGGAGATCAAAAGTCTAAGATCGTAAGTAAAATTTGTCCATATAGAGATAAGGTGTTTTCTATATCTTCTCATTCATATTTAATAGTCATTTTTTTTTGTCAGTAGTCAGTTTCTATGTGGTTTATTAAAATAATTTTGTTCTTAGTAAATCCCTTTTAGCTGTTTCGCAGGTTTTGCAGCATTGCCAATGTAAACTATCAAAACAATGTTCACTATTTAAAAACGGGTCATTAGAATCTGCACCCGTTCACGCCCATGGAATCATACAGCACCCCTCTTCGTTCCACTGCACACATTAATTATCTTTCAGATATTAACAAACTTCACACATGGATTTTCTTGTATAAGCATGTTAACTACCTGGGATGTTGTTAAACTCACCCAGGCACAAGAACCCCCTCACCGGCAAAGAGAGTACAGTTGGGGGTGACCGACCGACGCCATCTTGCCTGACTGCAATTAATTTGCCGCGAAGCGCGGCCACTGCGTGAACTTAGTACAAATCCCCTGGTGTACGTGCGTCACACACAAGGAACGGTGCACGTCAACCAGCGATATGTCCCGCCCATGGGACGTCGTTGCTAGGTAAAAGGGCACCCCTTTTCGTCAACACGTTCGGTGTGCGGAATGTTCGAAAAGTGCAAGATACATGTCAACAACCCGGAACGAAAAACAGCCATCGTCGCTCGCGTGCTCGCCCAGAAAGGTGTCGATTTTGCCGCATTATGCGAGACAAGACTTTCGGTGAACTGCAGTTCACTGAAACTGGTGCAGGCTACACATTCTTCTGGATCGGCAAACCTGCTGTCGCCGACCGACAAGCCGGAGTTGGTTTTGGTAATGGGTCCCTCTTGCTCGATCAGCTTCTGTGCGACGAACAAACGTACCATCACAAACACATTGTTCCAACAACCAAATCGACGAAAAACATCATGGATGCACCCAAGACTCAAGCATTGGCATCTTATCGACTACGTCATTGTGAGGCAGCGTGATCAACAAGATGTCCATCTGCCGCGAGCTGTCCATCACTCTACCGCGTGGTCCGATCAGCGATTACCTTGAAATAAATGTTGAGATGAATTGAATTGAAACGTGACTTTATACGTAATCGCAGGCTACTTTGCATAATACAGGTTTATGGCTTATGAAAAACTGCCTTTGGACAAACTCATTGACAAAAAGGTGATCCGGCAATATTTGGTTAGTTCAGTTGGTAGAGCGCTGAGACAACAATGAGGAAGTTGCAGGTTCAAACCCAGCTCCAGTCAATTTGAAAATTGTTCAACTTAAAACCGAGTCATTAATATTTTGTCAAGAAATAAAGTTGGGTTCCTGTATTATTCATGTTTGCATTACTCTTAAAGACAATTTTTTACAGACATTTACAAGTGTTGCCTTTCTGAGGTACACCTCCTAATTTAGTGATTTTCTTTCATTTGCAGGCAGTTTCGGTCTTGGGCGCTGGCGTTGTGGAGGTTTTGTTTGTCCCATACTTGTTCAGAAAGTACTGGCAGGCAAGAACAATGATATTCCCGTGGGGAGCAGAAACACAAAATCAAGGTGACTCGTAGATCCAAGTGCGTGTTTTGGCTAGCAGGGACTTTTTCTCCAGCGTCTGCGATCATCCCGTGCCTGTATAATAACATTCACTGTAAATTAATTTCAATTTACCATTTCCTTTGGCACTCTGGAAATTGTTCGATATGATTTTAAAAAGCAAAGGTTTCAGAGAATGTATGGAGGACCGAAGTGACTGGCAGGCGCGACGAATCGCTCGTCTGCGGACGACTTGGTATTGGTCCGTAAGAACCTACCGAAGACTACGAGTGTTCCTTACTGAAAAAAAGCTTTGCTACTGATGCGTCGTAAAGGAAATATTTTGTTAAATGTTAGTGAAATGCACAAAGTTACTTGATAGATTGGCATTCCCTCGGCCAAAAGTTACTGGATGGATTCTCATCGGGCTCAAAGAAAAATTTATCTGGATGCCATTTCTTAAATAGAAGAGGAATGGAAACCTACCATTGAGTTCTGCACATGATTTTCGACGGTTCCAACTTGATAGCACCATAGAGCAAGGACCCAAGGAGTTCGTACTCCAAGACTTCAAAAGTAAAATGATGGTCGCCGCGCTCGAAAGCTACGATAGAAAGCACCTGGTGACAGTGTAACCTGGAAAAATGACACACCTGGGGAACTCGCGAAAACTAATACAACTATGGGGATTCTAACCAAACTAAACTCAGGATCTTTGAAGAGAAAAGGCGCGAGGAGACTGAATTAATAGGGACAAGGGACACAATTCTAGATTTCGAACAAAAAAAGACAAAAGGAATTTATTTACAAGAACTTCAAATCAAAATCAAAACAAAAGATGAAGACCAAAAACTTAAACCTAAAACCAAAGACTCAAACCAACACAGTGAGTATATTAGTAGACCTTAAAGACACTTCTGGCAGAAAATCTGTAAAACAAGATAAGAAAGTAAAGAACATAATAAGAAACAGTAAACAATGCAAACAACTCAAGCTACACTAGGTCTAAAGTAATATAAACAATGCCATGTGGAACTACTATACACTCTTGCCAAGAACACTAAAATTTCTCGTGAATACCTAATGAGCAAGATAAACAGTGGTCCCCGTCTTCTGAATGCCAGGTGGGACTAATCACCAAGGGGGTAATTCAACATTCCTAAACAGTAAACTTGCAAAGGTCCAAAGCAGATAAGAATAACTAAATGCAACAGGTGTCTTAATACAAAATAAAGGAAATGCAGGTCTACAGTAAATGAACAGCTTGGACAAGTCTAACTAATGTATAAATATAGAAATCTAATCAGTAAGAAGTCTGTGGGAAAACCACTCCTCTTGGCTTTATACATGTACAATAAAACAATAAAGGTAATGAAGAAAACACCATCCAAAATACTGAAATCAGATGTCAAAAGAAAAAGGCAATGCAATGCATCTATCCAAGTCATTCCTCGGAAATTAAGTCAATGAAATAAATCAAACTTCTGACAACACAGTTTTCCTCGAAAATAACAGAACTCTAACATGTCTAATGATCCTGATCAATCAAAATCAAACAATACAAGCTAACTTTCTTCAAGTAATTTCTAAATAAACCCAATCTCAAAACTTCAAGTGATAATTCCTACAACTTACAAGGCTGTTCAGGAATTCTATAAAACTTGATTGTCAAAACTCTGAACAATACCAAAACAGATCAAAACTTCTAAAAAACTTAATAATACACTTAATGAGAAAATACAAAAAAAAAACATATATCAGAACTCACCAATAACTCGAGCAGATAAACTCTCACACAGGGCAAAGCGCACCCAAGAAAATCAAGGGGGAAAGAGAGGTAATAAAATGCACGGTCCTCTCTCTAGCTCTACTGCCGCTGGTCTGCTACTGATCATGAGGGGTCTGTGGTCTTACAGGGTGAGCAGGGCACATGGTCTTGAGACAGGGGGAACCAATGGCATGGGAACAATTTACATACAATGTGAACTGTTACTGGGGAAAGCTAATCAGGGGGAAACACTACTATGAAAGGGTAGGGGACATCTAATAAAAAGGGTGATTTATTCAGGGGACCTACTCCTATCCTAAAACACTACAAAAAATACAGTAAAAACTACAAGTAAAACTTGGCCCTGCCACACCAGCTTGCTCAGTTGCTCACTACGCTAATCCCGACACAATAGAGATCCGCGCTCACTATTGCCAAAAAAGGAGTTTGTATGGCTTCGTAGACAGTACCATGGTAAATACGCATGCGCAGTTGTCATACATCGCTAAAAATGAATGATTTTGAAGTGTTTGTTCGGAGTTGGCTAAAACTGGCTAACAATGTGGTCAACATCACTGAAACAATCATTTCATGAAGAACAAAATGCTCTGTACCTTTAGGGTGAAAATTTGTGAAATTTTCCAAAAAAACACATTTCATCAATGATATATTGCCAATTAAAATGTCTGAAAATACATTAAAACTTATCTGAAAGAAATCCAATTTATCAACAAATTACAGGGACAGATAACGCTTTTAAGCACCAGCAACTGCACATTGCTAACTTGAGTTCATAACTCACATCTAACAACTGCGCAGTTGTAAAAACCTATTTTGTCGTAAAATATATTTTTCAAAAAAGAGCAGCGACGTGACATGACTTATTATGCAGCATATAGGGAGGTTGTTGGTTACCAACTAAAAAGGCGGCGACGATCATCGTGTTCAAAGGCCGCTGGCATTCACGCTTTGAATGGTCGAGGCTTGCGGTCACAGTGCTGTAGCTATAGACATTCCCGAGGGATTGGTATGTTAATGGTCAAAATGTAAATCGCCCAAGAGTCCTGACTTCTTGGGTCCTTGCTCTATGATAGCACATAACAATTGGTCTAAAAAATACACAAATACCAGCTTCTAGTAACATTTAGTATAAAAGTATTTGTTTTATGTTTTGAATGTCATGTATTTCTAGATGAGAACGTGAAACATCTATTTGTGATGTGTTTGCTGTTGTTGAATCTTCATCTGGAGGTTAGTATACAAATAACGAACAATTATGAGTGTAATGGTGAGAATAATTTCATGAGGCAATTGAACGAATGTTCCATTCCACGAGACAAAGCCGAGTGCAAAATGGAACAATCCACCGAATGAACCTATTCTTTCGATTGCACGAATGTGAAAAAAAAATCAAATCATGATTCGTTTTATACACCACCGGAATAAATCCTCGTCATCTGCGGCCGTGTGTTGGAACGAATAATTCAATGACACGTGATCAACGACCTATCAATCACATGACGGGGATTTATGCAGGTGTTGTTAGTATGGGTTAGCGTTTGAAACATATTGCCAAGATACAACTTAATCACGAAGCTCACTTTTAATGCTTACCTTTATTTTAATAAGTTGATCCGGTCCGTACAGTTTTCTCTGATCTATCAAGTTTGGTATGGTCTGATCTGTGAAAAGTGTGATATGTTATGTCAAGCTTGATTTTTCTGTATACTTAATGTTTGGTTTTAATATTTAATGTTTAATACATACTTAATGTGCAAGTTAACTGTGCTTACTATTCTAAATGGGCTCTTGATTGCTCACTTTTTTTTCGGTAGCTGACGTTCGTGGTATTTGTCCTGAAGATTGAAAAGACAGTATTGGCAACTGCAGAAATTGTGCAGCTAGTTTTAGGAGCTATATATTCCACTAGTATATGTGCCTTTGGCTTCTTGTTCGTAAGTATTCTTTAATATTTAAATATTCATGAAAAACTGAAAGAAACAAATGAAAGAATCTTACTCGAATAAATAGAAATACATTATTGAGGTATGAGGAGTGTCTCAGGGTTAATGAAAATGGTGGTGTTTTATTTTTCAGTTATACAACAAATGGAAGCTGCTGGTACTTGTCATCGTGTTGGCAAGTTTGGCTGAGTTGGCCTACATTATAGACTACTTGATTGATGTGAGTATGACTTATATAATTTGTTACAAATCTCTCCTCTTTTATTACAACCTGCCAATGAAATTTGTTCCAGTGGTTTATATTGTAGAATCTTAACGGCTGCAATTAGTTCGTAATTTTCAATTGTGGTAAAAGTAAATACGTGGAAAACGTTCTTGTAAAATTTTTCAACTAGTCTGGTAATTATAAATTTCCTTTCAACAGACTGAACTGAACTGGCAAGGTTTCCCCGATGAGGTCGTCCCAGCGTTCATCATTGCTGTCAGCATCGCTAATCTCGCAGTGAGGAGTTGTGTATGCTGGTCTCTGATCTATATATACAAACACATTCGGACTGAAATTGATATGTCAAGCTCTTCGAAAAATAAATAATAAACCTAACTTTTTTTTTCATTCCTGTACCGACGGATAGTTATTGAGGCATTTTCAATGTTCATATCCATTGTTTTAACTAGTCATCTCTCAAACTAAAACTGTATTTTTTTTTGGAGGAGGGGGAGACTAACTATTTGTAATCTCGTGAGTTCTCCCAAGATACAAGTAAGGTGCTAATAAGACTTTTTTGAAAAGAAAACCGTGCTGGTCTGTACAAACGTAGCCATTGCAAATAAAGCTATTGCAATCATTCAAAAAATTGCAACCATTACTTGTTATTCTATCTATATTTTTTTTCACAGGACAAATCTGCGATGGCCCTAGAGCCAAATATCTTTCTAAGGACATACTCTGAATGCGTGCCAAATGCCATGCTTATCATAGGCACAATTTCCCAAAATGTTCATCCTATCTGCCCAAGTATACCCTGAGCTAACTTTTGAGAATAACAATACCAGTATTAGAGCTTCATTCATTGGTTAGCTAACCATAGTATTGGTTGGGTAAACCGTATCTTAACATCATCGGATCTCTTGAATTAATCACAGTGTCAAGTTAAAAACCATGCACTTTTTGGACCAAAACAAGAGGGAATATTTTGAAATGTCTCACTGAAATGTAAACGGGTACATTGGGGTTTGTCATTATATTGTCATATAAAATGTAAAATTCGTTCGATTTGAAAGTTTCAAGTTGAAAATGATCTCAACGTTTCATTCAGATAAAAGTGAAACGTCCAGACATCGATGTTCAATTTGCCTACATCACATTTCGGGTGCAAGAGAGCACGTGAAAAGTCATCAAAGAACTACAGTGGAAAAGTTCCGAAATAGGAATGTCAAAAGGCACCTTCAGTAATGATTAAACCTCCTTGGATAGGCCAGTTCTAACCATCCGATTATACACTCGGCCCTATTTTGGTAAAATGATGTAAGTCGATTTTTGGGCGATTTTGAGTTAGACTCAAATCCCGGTAAAGTGAGGGCGCTGTTTCCGATTCAGAAAATATTAGAGTCAAGAAATGAAGCGCTCAAAGGATATTATATGAATCTCACCATGGAAAACTTAACTAGTGCAGCTTTTTTTTTAGAAAAATAATGCAAGTCTGACGTACGTGACATATATCTGTGTTTGCAAATCTCACAAACAAGGTAAAATGGCGTACTTTTACTTACAGCATTTTTGGTAATTAAAGTCTCATTAATAATTGTTTGTGCATGTCAGACATACACCATTTTACCAAAATAGCACTGTTGGTTTGAATTCATGCATATCCCATTTGTTTCCCTTGATATGTAAGTAAACTGGGGAAAGTCGTTTGCATTATTTTCATCATAAACGAAATTACCCTTTCACAGGCTTAAATGCAGACTGTTTCGTTTTTAAGTCTATTCATGATTATTCCAAATGATATGTACACACATACATTATTACTGCGTAACAAATCCAAGCTTTCCATTGGAAGTCTTTTTTAGTAAAATGATGTATCTTCCAAAAACATTCTATATCTCTAGAAATATCCACGAAATTTAGTGAATTATGTAAGAAAACAAAATATTGGTTGTCTAGACATCAGAAAATGACTGCTTCAAAGTCTTGAAGACCTAAAGACCAAAACGGCAACATCTCAATCTTTAAATCACTTTTTCTCAAAATGTCCTTCAAGTGACATCATTTTACCAAAATAGGGCCGCACTTTGCACCTTATTGCCTGCAAAGATGATGAGACAACCTTACTTGTGGGGCCGAAGACGGTAGAATGAAGGTCCTCATGTTCAACATCTATATTAAACGGGCGACGAGGGCGTGACCTAACTGACGTTCGTATACAAGAACATGGAATTAAATTGATATTTCGCTGACTGAAGATAACATTTTCTTTACTTATAATTACTACCTGTACTATGGTTCTTTTTTGTTTCATTTTAATGTTGGCGTTAATAAAAATTGATTTAATTAATAAATTAAATGTATGTTATACATTTAAAACACTTATATAATACAGGGGGTAGTGAAATATTCAGTGACGAGGGAACAATTAATTTAAAATCAATGTTTGTACCGAATGGGTAGAAGATGTGCAGAAAGTAGATATCGCAGTAACATTTCGAACAACAGAAAAAAATCAAGAACACTTGTAACATCAGGAAAACAAATTTGAGATAAAGATGAATTTAGGGCAAATTGGGCAGTTAAAATTGATGGTACATGTACAGATATGAGGAAATGAATGAGAGATGGTATTGGTTAAATCATGTAATAAACGTGAAATATTTTACATAAAGTAAACAACCATAAAAGCTTGCAGAGGACACGTTCAATGACAAACACATTCTTAATTTTAAACCACTTAAAATTGCCAATTTGCTGCATATTTGACAACTAATTTTAAGCAGGGCAGCAAAGATGGCTTTAAATGTTTTATATACAAAAGTCTGTAAATAACTGTAACATTTTTGACCCGGAGTAACGCGGGAAATCTGCATCTGGAGTCGTTCAATTTCGTTTCTTTACTTTATACTGATTAATTG